TGGAGACAGAGTCTCACTTTGTTGCCCTTGGTAGAGTGCTCTGGCGTCATACCTCACAGCAACCTCAAACTCCTGGGCTCAAGAGATTCTCTTGCCTCAGCCTCCTGAGTAGCCTAGACTAGAGGCATCTGCCATAATGCCCAGCTATTTTTAGAGACAAGGTCTCACTCTGGCTCAGGCTGGTCTCGAACCTGCAAGCTCAGGCAATCCACCCACCTTGGCCTCCCAAAGCTAGGATTACAGGTGTGAGCTACCACAACTGGCCACTAAAAGCGTATTTCTTTCTTTCTTTCTTTCTTTTATTGAAACAAGAGTCTCACTTTGTCACCCTTGGTAGAGTGCCATGGCATCATAGCTCACAGCAACCTCAAACTCTTGGCCTCAAGCAATTTTCTTGCCTTGGCCTCCCTAGTAGCTGTGACTACAGGTGCCTGCCACAACCACTGGCTCTTTTTTTTTGTTTAGCAGGCCCAGGCCGGGTTCAAAACTACCAACCCCGGAGCATGTGGCCAGTGCTCTTACCACTGAGCTACCTGTGCCCAGCCTGGCAAAGTATATTTCTTAAGGAGATGTTATTATTATCAGAACCTATTCCCAAAGCTATTGGTCTTCCTCTGTTAATGCAAATTCGCAATGTTTGAATACTACCCAATATCCAACAAGTAGCCCCAAACACAAACCTCACTGACCATAAATGTGCTCCTTCACAATCCCTACAGTGGGGCCAAACCAAAACCACTTACAGGTCACTATGGAGACCCAATCAGCCTCAACCTTCACCATGGCCAGTACTACTTGACATTAATTCTGTTGGTTTAAAGGCCAGAAGTACACCTGCCCTTTTCCTTTTTTTCTCTTTGGAGACAGAGTCTTGCTCTGTCACCCTGACTAGAGTACCATGGCATCATCATAGCTCACTATAACCTCAAACTCTTAGGCTCCAGCAAGCCTCCTGCCTCAGCCTCCTGAGTATCTGGAACCACAAGAGAATGTTACTGCACCTGGCTAATTTTTCTATTTTTAATACAGACAGGGTTTCACACTTAGTTAAGTGGCTCAAACACCTGAGCTCAATTGATCCTCCCTCCTTGGTGTCCCAGAGCCCTTCTGCAACTTAATGAAAAACTTCTACCTCTAACTTTTTCTTAGACAACTTTTAGTACTCCTCCTGAAACACTAGCAATATAAGGTAGAGATTTTTATTATATTCAATGTATCCTTCAAACCCCGAGAAGGCAAAGTAAAAACTTGTCAAATTAGAGACAGGCAATCATTGCATTATCTATTTAAAATTACCTCCAAAAATATGGGATCATAATATCACTCGCTTTGATTCTGTTCAAGAACAAAACTTGCAGAAGCAACAGGTACAAATTCTTAGAAATCTTTCCCTAGGCTCGGCGCCTGTGGCTGAAGCGGCTAAAGCGCCAGCCACATACACCTAAGGTGGCGGGTTCGAATCCCCAGCCGGGGCCCGCCAAACAACAATGATGGCTGCAACCAAAAAATGGCCAAGTGTTGTGGCGGGCGCCTGTAGTCCCAGCTACTTGGGAGGCTGAGGCAGGAGACTCGCTTGAGCCCAGGAGTTGGAGGTTGCTCTGAGCATGATGCCATGGCACTCTACCCAGGGGGATAGCTTGAGGCTCCGTCTCAAAAAAAAAAAAAAAAGAAAGAAATCTTTCCCTAAGTAACAACTATTATTCTTTCTAATTATGAAATTTAGTAACAGATGCTTAAAATCTCAAGTGGAGAGGTATCTATCCAAATCCTAGTTCCTGGCCCAACAAGAAGGGACTCAGGAGACCCTCCCAGCCCAACCTCCAACAGGCATCTGGTCACTCACATCTCCATCCTAGGGCACTCAAGGAGCAGCTCTTTAAGTACATCCTGTGTAAAAAAGATCACTCTCTCCCAGTGGTTTAAATCATCCAATGACTTACAGCTGGATTCCAAAATGCAACAAGAAATGAGATTTCCCTCAGAGGTATAACTTTAAAAGGCCTTCTATTCCACCAAACAAATAGAACTCTGGGAGAAGTGTGGGGTGGGTGACATTTTCTGACTGAACCAACAAAAAAGGTAAGAACTATTACTATACCCAGCCTAGGTCACATGGCCTTCAAAAATCCTCAATAAAGTGTGGTTCTGTGGCTGAAAAGAACTCAACCGATTTTCAACTCAAGAGGCAGACCAAGAGTTGCAAACATCCAGCTGACAACTCGAACTTAGGAACCGAGGCCGTTATGGGTAATATGTAAATGCACAAATTCAACCTATGAATAAACCCTATCTTGGTAACCTGGGGGCTGCAGGGGACCTTATTTGCTTAAGAACCTAAAAAGAATACAAGAAAAATCAGGGTTTTGAGGCACATGGTATATTCTGCCATGGGGAAAAAACTCCAGCCAAACCGGCTAGGAGCCGGCAGGGACTCAGAATGGGTGGGACAAGAGGGGGTGAGAGCGACTGGCTAAAGCGAGGCCCAACTCTGTCCGGTCTCCGGCCAATCTCCGTCAGGGACTGCCAGAGGGCGCATGGCCGCAATCCCCAGTGTCACGAAAGACTAGGGGGCTTCTCTAGATCCCCGGGAGTGGAGATGGGAAGGGAGGAGGCTTTGGGGAGGTAAGGCCCAGCCAGAGTGAGGGTCTCCAGGTAAGGAGGCAGGGAGGAGGGGGTGCCCAGGTAGGGAGGCCGGAAGGGCGGGGTCCCCAGGTAGGGAGGCCGGAAGCTGGGTTTCTGGGTAGGGAAACCAGGAGGGCCACCGAGTAGGGAGGATGAGGGTAGGTCCCCGGGTAGGAAGGCCGGTATGGGGATGCCTAGTTGGGGTCCCCAAGAAGAGAGGCCGGGAGGGGGGTCCCGAAGAAGGGAGGCCGGGGTTGGGTCCCCGGGTAGGGAGCCCGGGAGGGGGTTCCCGGGTAGGGAGCCCGGGAGGGGGTTCCCGAGTAAGGAGGCCGGGAGGGAGTCCCCGGGCAGAAGGACCGGCGGGGGGTCCCTGGGAGCGGAGGCCGGGCGGGTGGGGCGTAGGGCGGGGCCCGCCTCACCGTGGTCCTGGTTGAAGCCGGCGTAGAGCAGCCCGTTGCCGTGCGGGTTACACGGTAGGAGGTTCATGGCGCCGCCGAGGTGTCAGCTCTCCTCAGCGCCGCATGCCGCTCGGGGAGGCCGGGCGCTCGGCACTCGTCAGGCCGGCGCAGAGGCCGCCGCGGCCGGAAGTGCTCCTTGTGTGTGTGCGTGCGTGCGTGCGTGCTCGCGCAAGCTGCCAGGGAGGCCGCAGAGTGCCGAGTGCATCCAACCGAGGTAGGGCGAGGAGGGAGCGCCGAGTGGGCGGGCCAGGCCGCAAGGGGCGGAGACCGGAGAGGCCTGCTGGCCTGGCCTCGACCGCGGGTGATCTGAGAGGCACGTGTGGTGAGGGAGACTGCCCTGAATCCGGGTTTGCGGCGCCCCGGAAGCGCGGACAGGCCCCGAACCGTGACCACGCGGGAGCACTGACAGGACACAGCCCACGGGACCCCCGGCAGGGACACAACGGCGGCATTACGCTCTCCCCGGAGTGCGAGCCCTGCTGTAAACTGCGGCCCCTTATGAGAATCTAAGACCTGGTGACCGGCTGGAGCGCCGAGGGGGGCCGCGCGCTCTGGGAACGCCGCAAGTGCGGAATGTCACCAACAGGGAGGTCCGTCCGCGCAGGGAGTGCCGAAACCAGGGGCTCGCAGACACTTAACGGACCCACGCTGCCCCGTGGAAAAATTGTCTTCCCTGAAACCGGTCCTGCTGCCACAAAGGTTGGGGACCGCTGTAAGAGGCAGGTGGGTCTCACCTGAGGGAAAGAGACTGGCTTCTCCCCGAGGTTACCGAGAGGACGGTGGATAGATTACCCTCGTGCTCAGGCAACCCAGTGGCGACCATGGGACGGGGCCAGGATCCAGTCCCAGCGCGGGGACCAAGCTGAGGCGCGGACTGCGGCCGCACACTCGGGTCCCTGCTGCCACGTCGTGCTACCGGGGGAAAGGAGGCGCGGTGTGGGCCTTTCTCCCGGTCTCTTACTGCCACCTGTGCGGCCCCTTCAGTCCATTTATTTTATTTTATTTTACTTGCAATTTTTGGCCAGGGCCTGGTTTGAACCCGCCACCTCTGGTATATGGGGCCGGCGCCGCCCACTTTTTTTTTTTTTTCTTTTAAACGGAATCACCCTCAGTAGAGCGCTCTGGCATCACAGCTTACAGCAACCTCCAGTTCTTGGGTTCAAGCCATCCTCTTGCCTCAGCCTCCCAAGTAGCTGGGACTACAGGCGCCTGCCACAACGCCTGGCTATTTTTAGAAGCGGGGCCTCGCTCTGGCTCAGGCTGCTCTCAAACCTGTGAGCTCAGACAATCCACCTGCCTCAGCCTCCCAGAGTGCTGGGATTACAGGCATGAGCCCCGACGCCCAGACTTCCCAGACTTCAGTTCATTTTCTTTCTTTCTTT